TATATACATACAGTATATTAGAGCATAAATGACACTGTAAACAAGGACAAGTGAGGTGAGAACATTTCAACAAATTGTTTCAAATCTAAAAATTATATGTAAAGTTAAGCTCCTTGGTGTTTCCTGTGGTAGAAGAGACTTGGTGACCCTGTTTAAACTTTACGTTCTTCCCTCTGATGCACTGCATATCCTCAGGCTTGACTTTTTAATGGTGGAATTGAAGGGCTCTTTGCAACCAATTAAATACAACATCAGTGAGTGGGCACGAGCCTTTATCAGTCTGAACTTGAACATCATGCAAACTTAGCATCTTATGATGAAATTAACAGTCAATGTAAAAACTTCAGTTGGTTTATAAGTAAAATAATTCTAAAAATGTATCTCCACATTGTTCTAAATGGAGAAAAAGATAACAGAAAAAAAGATTTTTTAGTAAATATTGATCCAATGTAAGAATTAACTGTTAATTTCATCATTACATTCACATGGAGACTGTTGAAACAGTGATAAAATTAAATGGTTATCAGTCTAAAAACACCATTTAATCAAGTATCTGATTATCACATTGAACACTGCACTGGTGCTCAGTTTGAAGGACTCTCAGAYGTTTGCAGTTTGGGACAGAGAGTTGAGCTTTAAACTGTTTTTTTGTAAATAACGTTTACACAGAACACTGGTACATTGGGATTATTGATGCAATTGAATACTGCAGAGTTTGCCCTCCAAAACACAATATGAAGATAAACAAAAATAATGATGATATAAACTGAAGGGCACACACACTTGCACCAACATATTGACTGAACCTTGACAGAATTTAGCCATCACAGTTAGATAAATTAAAGCAGCAGCTGTTTGTTTTTCTCTAGTAATATGCTTAGATACTCTCATCTATAGGCAACTGCATGGACGTGAACACACTCTCACATACACAAACACACAGAGATGCAAATGAACAAARCTCTCTGTCGCATCTGTATCCAGAAAGCTTTCTTGCTGTGACTTGTAGAAGGTAATTTTACCCTTCACCTTCATTTAATTAGAAGCAGCGAGTGAAAAGGGCAGGATTTGAATCTTTCTGGCAAGGCCAGCATGTAATGCAGCTCACTGTTGGACCTGAGCAAGTTGACTCACCGAAATCATGTTCAACAAAATCCCTGAAATGCCCCATGCCCTCACACACACAATCTCACACCTGCATACAAAAGTACACAAATACGTGTTTTTTTTCTCACTTTGCACTTAATCTACACTGCATTATATATATATATATATATATATAATCTCCTCATTCATGCAAGCAAAGTACATAAAACAACTTTTTTGTTTGCTTGCTTTACTAAAATCTGCCATTATATCAAGATGTGTTTGCTTAGTTTAGATCCTTCTCAGTGCCACTTTTGGATAGAGAGCATCTAGACACAACTAACGACAACACATTTGACATAATAAACTTAAAAATATATTGATCTTTGTGCAAGCCACTGGGATTGAGACAAATTGTGTGTGTGTGTTGTGTGTGTATGTATGTATAAACAAAAGTAGAAACTAAAATAAAGACTTCTGCAGTGAGTTGTTTTAAAATCACTGTAGATTTAGCTTTTAAATTGTTCAGGCACAACACAGGGAAATATGCACACATTACTTTCACCAGACTTGTGAAGACATGCAGGCCATTTTTATTAACCTTAATTACTGTGAAATTGTGTGAAAAAGTCCAATTCATTAGTCACTTTCATGCACTGTTTTGTTAGTTTGTAAGCTAAAAGCTCAGTTCACCCACAGTAAAATTAAGACATGACAAATTTGCACATCTGGGCAGTTTAAAACTATTTTGATATGATATTATTCCAAAGAAAATTAAAGAGTACCTTATTGCACAGTAATTTATCACCCGCCAATTTACTGTTAAAAGGCTACATATTTTATAGCCAACAAATAGCAGTTAAGAATTGCATACCAGGTTAAAAGTACATTCACTTTGGAACTATTTAACTCATTATTTATTTGGGAATGTTTTGTACTACTCCATATGCAGCCAATGAACATTAACCCAAAAAACCAGTGTTTAAAATCCAAATGTTTTATTCTTCTTGCAAATATGATGTGGACTTTGACTTATATGATAAGCAAGTGTGAAAACTT